TACTATATTAGCTTAGCGGTCGCCTTTGTACATTTCGTTTTCGCAAAGATCCCCTTCCCTACTAACCTTTGATATTACCAAGACGACCAAGGTGGGCAGGGTGCTGCTTTGTTGCTTCAACTTATAGTTATGCCGCTTTGTCTAGTATATTGTGGCTGAAATAGGGTGAAACAGCTACAGGGCAAATACACCTGTTCATCATTCAATTAAGATTTTCCGCCGCATGTGTTGCAGTGTGACGAGAACCCATATTTTATTTTATCTACTCTAAATGATATTTTGTTATACTCAGTTCCTCCTCAAATCTCAACGGGACCAAATAATGTGGCATTGGTCGAAGGATCGTCCTCTTCATCATTTACCTGCACTTCATACGGATACCCTAGTCTAAACATAGAATGGTACCATGATGGTGTTCAGCTTCCACACACTCAGATCAATACAACCATGACCTCGTCTGGAAATAGAACTTCTCCAGCATCTTATACAAGCATACTACCTCTAACAAATGTGAAATATGCTGACCGTGGGCACTACACATGTGTGAGCAGTGTGAACAATACTGGATTTGATGGCACCAGTCACATGATACGTACTGTCAATGCAACCGTAATGCTGTCTATCTTGGGTAAGATATTTTCAGCCACAGTGTTTCTGAGTTTGAAGAAGGGCTGAGGCTTCCTGCAGCTTCATCTGTGAAAAGAATTCGGGTGGACACACCCATTCCCATAGCGCTGCATATCACATCCGAACCAGTTCCGTTATTTTTACAACGTTTCGGCACTTGGCCATCGTCAGGTAATAACAATGAATACCGTGGAAGCCACACACGAGCAGTATATCCGCAGAGTGTAGCGCCAAAAAAAAGATGCGAATTATGTCACCTAGTATGACACAGAGAGAGAAAAGGCGCAACTAGCACATCACGGAGGAGAAGCAGCAGAAGGTAGCTTTCTGGAAACTCGCCTGGAAGAACATAATGGTGAGGCAAGACGCCAGGAACTCGACAAGCCATGGGGCCAACATTTTCGCACCACTCACCCTGGATGTAAGCTTAACTATGGGCAAAGTGCATTCTCTGCAGTTGAAGTAATAGGAAGAGAGCCTGATCGAGCCCGTCGCAAACTGCGCGAGGCAATTGAGATTCGTGATGCCAAGCCCCATGTGAACATAAGCACCGGATGGGATTTGTTGTGAATTTTCTCAGCTTCCCCTGCTGCTACTTCAATATCACTGAATAATTATAATATGAGGCGGGTCACTCAAATCCATTCTATTCCTGATGCCTCGTCGCGTCCCTGGTGGTAACAGTTTGGCATGGAAGTTTAACCTCATAGTGCATTGACTCATGGGGCTCCGTGCTCCCCTCCTGTGCTAGAATTAACACCATAATTATTTGGCATGTAACCTCACTTCGTAGAGCACAACGGCGCGCTCTTCTTCTCCGTGATGTGCACAGTTGCACCTTCTCTCCCCCCCCCCCTCTGTATAGAGGTGACATAACTCGCATCATTTTATTTTTTGGCGCTACACTCTGCGTAACGCCATTCACAGAGCACAATGCGCGCTACCTTCTGCTGCTTCTCCTCCGTGATGTGCTAGTTGCGCCTTTTCTCTCTCTGTGTCATACTAGGTGACATAATTCGCATCTTTTTTTTGGCGCTACCCTCTGCGGATATACTGCTCGTGTGTGGCTTCCACGGTATTCATTGTTATTACCTGACGATGGCCAAGTGCCGAAACGTAAAAATAACGGAACTGGTTCGGATGTGATATGCAGCGCTATGGGAATGGGTGTGTCCACCCGAATTCTTTTCACAGTGTTTCTGAGCATGTAAGATAATGATAATTTCGTGTCTACACATAAAGATAAAATACAAACTTAACACAGAGGCAGATAAACAGAATCGAAAATCATTCTTGTGACTTCGAGCTAAGCCAAAACTCCCGGTCACAAGTAAAATTTTGGTCTCTGATGTCCTGCCTTGTGTAGTACGCTGGGCCCTACTCAGGGTATTGAAAACTATTTGTAGCACGGATCTCACACACTTTGTCCGTAAAAGAATTTAAAAACAAATCGCACTCTATATGTCTGACATCGGACCGAAATTTATGTTGCAAGGATATCCAAAGATGCAGACAGCCAGACTGTTTCGGCCAATGAGGCCTCATCATTGCATCTTCAAGCTTAAAATAGGATTGAACTGTCAGCCATGGCTACGAGAACCACAGACATTAGGACAGCTCGATGTTCTAGCCCTGACAGTGCTCAAACTACCAGAAGACGCGGGCAAAGCATAAAGCTAACCAGCGCAAGTGAGTCCTATTGAGAGTGCTCCACAAGATCGAAATCGAAGAGCGAAATACTCAATGATGCAGGCAGCCGGACTGTTTCGGCCAAGGAGGCCTCATCAGTGCAACTCCGAGCTTAAAATAGGATTGAACGGTCAGCCATGGCTATGAGAACCACAGTTGCAAAGATATTTGTTGCAAAGATATCTGTAACATGAAAATTAACCTCTGGTGTTCAGCCACAAATACAGTCAATGCAAGAAGGAAAGGGATATATTATGTATACGAGTTAAGAGTAAATGTCAACAAATGAAACTAGATACCGTACTTTTTTTTAAAACGAACGTGTCCCCAATAGGCACAATGCTGACAGAGTACTGGGACCTTTGACGTCCTGACATCTAGCTCCAACACGTTTCCAAACCCCGAACGGGCAGCCTGCCAATCTGAAAGGTACTATTAAAGTGAAGAAAAGACCAAAATAAGAAAGGTAAGTTCAACAAAAAATTACTAAAAGTCCCCATCCTTGGGAAAAGAAATGTCGACCATTACTGGATGCTGGAAATGACTAGACCAGCACAGTGCTGTGTGAAACTACTTGTTTTGCAGTCAACTAGTCCTTCAAAACGTCATGCATGGGGAGTACTGTATTAGCTTAGCGTTCCCTTTTGTAAATTTCGTTTTCGTCAAGATCCCCCTTCCCTACTAACGTTTGATATTACCAAGATAACCAAGGTGGGCAGTGTGCTGCTTTGATGCTTCGACTTATAGTTATGCCGCTTTGTCCAGTATATTGTGGCAGAAATTGGGTGAAACAGTTACAGGGCAAATACACTTGTTCATCATTCAATCAAGATTTTTGTCCCCATGTGTTGCAGTGTGACGAAAACCCACATTTTATTTTATCTATTCTATTTTCAGCACCTGTGCCAGTGGTTGTGAGACTTATCCACTCACCCCCACCTTTAGGCGCTGCATCTGCCGCTTGGGTTTATCGGGTGTTAGCGGCCGTCGTGAGTTCCCTTCGGGAACGGACACGATAATTTACTTTTATATTTAATTTATTTTTATTCTAAATGATATTTGTTATATTTAGTTCCTCCTCAAATCTCAACGGGACCAAATCATGTGGCATTGGTCGAAGGATCGTCCTCTTCATCATTGCTCTGCACTTCATACGGATACCCTAGTCCAAACATAGAATGGTACCATGATGGTGTTCAGCTTCCACACACTCAGATCAATACAACTATGACCTCGTCTGGAAATATAACTTCTCCAGCATCTTATACGAGCATACTACCTTTAGCGAATGTGAAATATGCTGACCGTGGGCACTACACATGTGTGAGCAGTGTGAACAATACTGGATTTGATGGCAGCAGTCACATGATACGTACTGTCAATGCAACCGTAATGCTGTCTATCTTGGGTAAGATATTTTCAGCCACAGTTTTTCTGGGCTTGTAAGATAAGGATAACTTCGTCTCTAGACATAAGGATAAAATTGTAATCTAATATCGAAGCAGAACAACAGAGACGAAAAACCTTTCTCATGACCTTGTGCGAAGACGAAACTCGCTGTAACCAGTAAGATTTTGTTCTCTGATTTTCTGCCTTGTGTAGTACGCTCTGCCCTTTTCATGGTATTGAAAACATTTGGTGGCACAGATCTCAGACACTTCGTCCACAAAAGAAATTTAAAACATATTGCACTCTATATTTCAAAAATTGCACTGAAATTTAGGTTGCAAAGATATTTGTAACATGAAAATGAGACTCTGATGATGAGCCACAAATACAGTCAATGCAAGAAAAAAAAGGGACATATGTATACGAGTTAAGAGTAAATATCCACCACTGTAACTAGTTTCTGTACTACTATAAACAACGAACGTGCAACCACTACGCACAACGCTGACAGAGTACTGGGACATTTGACGTCCTGACATCTAGCTCCAACACATTCCCGAAGCGCTTACCAGCAGCATTCCAACTCGAAAGCTTCTACAAGGGGGAAAGACCAAAAAGAGAAAGGTTAGCTCAACAAAACTGGGTACAACATCGCGTATAAGGCAAGAGTCACCGCAGGTATGGAGAAGAAGGAGTATACTGGATTAACAGCAACAACATTCAAACAACGCTACTACAACCACCAATCATCATTCCGCCACAGACAACACGAGAAGGACACCCGCCTATCGCAGTACGTCTGGACCAAAAAGAATGAAGGGAAGGCATGCAGTATTCAATGGGCGGTACACCGCAGAGCAGCGGCCTACAGCAACAAAAGAAAGGTGTTTCAAAAGTCGCGCAAAATATGGCTGGTGTGCGAGTAATTTTGACTGTATGACTGACTTTGGGGACAGTGACTGTTAAGTAGGACGTGACTGCTGTCTGAGTCCTACATATATTTTTATCTATTCTAAATGATAGTTGAGCCGCATCATGACCAAAGGGTGCTTATGGCGAAAGTTTCACAAACTGAGTTATAATCACAGCGCAATGGCCGAATTCTCACTGCTTCTATTGCAAAAAACAACATTCAAATCGCAAAGAAAACTAACCCTATTCCAAAAGAAAAATGCACTCTCAATATCGCATACTAAACTTTTTCAAAAGAGTTTTTCTAAGTTTGATGTCGCGTGCCATAACCACCGTTTTGTCATGGCGTGGCTCATTTGTTATATTTAGTTCCTCCTCAAATCTCAACGGGACCAAATAATGTAGCACTGGTTGAAGGATCGTCCTATTCATCATTTACCTGCACTTCATACGGATACCCTAGTCCAAACATAGAATGGTACCATGATGGTGTTCAGCTTCCACACACTCAGATCAATACAACTATGACCTCGTCTGGAAACAGAACTTCTCCAGCATCTTATACCAGCATACTACCTCTAACGAATGTGGAATATGCTGACCGTGGGCACTACACATGTGTGAGCAGTGTGAACAATACTGGATTTGATGGCAGCAGTCACATGATCAGTACTGTCAATGCAACCGCAACACTATCTATCTTCGGTAAGCGCTTATCTATGTACAGTAGGTATTTTCATTGGTGCCTACAGTAATTACATTTCAGTTTTTGTTTTGAACAACAATGTAGAAGAATTGTGTGTTGCCCTCAATGTGGGAGCTTGCGCTATTCATGCTGACTTGAAGTCTCACTTGACTGACTCACGACTGACTTGAATTCTCACTTGACTGACTCACGACTGCCATTCAGAGCACATGAGAAGTCCATCCAACCGTCCACTCGACAAACCTGGAAGAAAGCACCACTCCTTGCTTAATTCACAGTGTTTCGGGGAGTTCACCCCTCATCAGTTGAACTTGAGTAGGCTGAGGAAGATTGTGCCTGAAGAGCACCACTTATATAGTGCTCTCCGGCCAGAAACATCACGAGAACACAAGATCGTAAAAAGCACCGACTGGTGAGCAAAGTTATGAAATGTTTGATCGACCTGAGTGGATCTGAGTAGAACCAGTGCGTGGTGCGCAAGCGCACAAGAACTGGGACATCAGACAGGTTTTCGTGGCACATCCTTGGGGTGAAAGGGTTAAAGACCGTTTCATAGCGGCACTGATTACTGGAAATCTGAACGTAAGCGTTACAAGGATAATGCGTCCTGCCGCTTCATACCTTAAAGAGAGGTGATGACAAGACATGCTCTTCCATCAGGACTCCAAATTCACAACTCAGTTCACTGCATGATAATACTGATTCAGTGATTCTTATGCAGTAAATTTGTGAATTTGCAATGAATTCACTAATGCCTACTCAGACTAATTTCTTTGTGCTCAGTTGCTCCTGAAATCTCAGCTGGATCAAGATTTGTGGCATTAGCCGAAGGATCGTCTTCTTCGTCACTAAGCTGCACTTCATACGGAAATCCTAGGCCAAACATACAATGGTTACATAGCGGTATACAACTTCCACAGACTCAAATCCATACAATACTGACCTATCCTGGACATGGAACATCCCCATCATCTTATACCAGCACACTAACTTTAACTAATGTGAGTTATGCTGACCATGGAGAATACACATGTGTAGCTAATGTAAACAAGACTGGATTTGAAAACAGCAGACAAGTGATCAGTACAGCCAATGCAACCACAACACTAACTGTCTACAGTAAGTTTTTCATTGTTTAACCTGAAAACTTTGATACGTTTTTTTCCGTGGAGGAAACCCTGTACAAATACATTGTATGCTTTGCCAGCTGCTGAAGCCAAGACCGCCAGGAATGTTGTGTTTGTGATGTGATTTGTAAAAGATCCTTGAATTTGCACAATAATTAGGAAAAGGTGACATGACTAGTTAACTGAGTATTCCAGTGGTTGTTTCTTGGTTATTTGTGACTCCACTTTGTTTTGATAAAGAAAGGTAAAGGACAAAATGTTACGAGTTATGACAAACTGTCCACCAACGTAACCAGATCTTATACAGTCAGCAAGTGCGACTAAATGGCACAAAACTGACAAGGAGTACTGAGACATTCGGCGACCTGACACCTACCTCCAACACTTCTCCAAGGTGCAACCAACAACCTTCCAACTTGGAAGGCTCAGGTTCGGAAAGGTCCAAGCGGGGAAGGAAGGCGCAACGAAGAAGAGGATGAGCTACGCATCACGGCAACAAAGAATGCCGAAAGTTACTGGATGATGACGAAACTAGTAAGACTATTGGACAGACCGGCCTTACTACAATTCGACGACGCAAAGCAACAGACCACCCAACTTGGGACGCTCAAGTTTATGTAATAAAACAAAGAAGAGGAAACTAAGCGAAGACGAATTGTGACAAACCGAAACGCCAACATCCTACTGAACTCCAATTTCATGTATGATGGACTATTTATGTACTTGTACAATAATAAGTAGTTCCACACGACGTACGTTTCGCCGTATAGGTCATGGCGGCTCATCAGGTGTGCAAATTTAAAACTCGGATGGTGAGCCAATATAGTTATGATAAAGAAAGGTAAAGGACAAAATGTTACGAATTATGACAAACTGTCCACCAACGTAACCAGCTCTTATACAGTCAGCAAGTGCGACTAAATGGCACAAAACTGAAAAGGAGTACTGAGACATTCGGCGACCTGACACCTAGCTCCAACACTTCTCCAAGGCGCAAACCAACAACCTTCCAACTTGGAAACTTTCGGCATTCTTTGTTGCCGTGATGCGGAGCTCATGCTCTTCTTCATTGCGCTTTCCTTCCCCTCTTGGACCTTTACCAGCCTGAGCCTTCCTGAGCCTTGCTCACTGAGTGCTGCTATACTGACAGAGGGTGGAGTGGAAGTTTTGGTCCGGCCGCTGAGCTCGTTTATTGTCTTCCAAGTGAGGCGTGCATTTGCCTGACTCCGTGTGAGAAAATTCTTGTAGTACTGGGCCCTGAGGCGTCGGGACATTCGCATCGGCCCGTGCTGATGTGAATACAGTTCGCAGATCCATGTCAGTCGGCGAGGTGCTGCGTTGCGAAGTAGAATAGCGTCGTGGAGGGCAGGTAATTTCCAAGGACAGGGCGTGCGGCAGAAAGATTTAGGCCGATACGTTCGGACAGGAGCGTGCTCGTCCAAAACGGAAACAATCTTGTTAGTCCAAGAATACCACATGGCATCCACAGTCTGAGGGGTTGAAATTCTCCAGGTCACAATGATGCAAGTCATGAGCGAATCGGTTCATATCGATCCTTGCTAGGTAACAACCACACTTGACAGCAGGAGGTTCCACAGTGCACTTGAAAGGTAGGTCAATTACGACCGCAAAGTGGTCGCTGATGGTACAAGGGAGAACCGTGCAGGAGGTTATCGCTCCATCCACAGCTAGGGCGAGATCCAGTGTTGTTCTGCGGCCGTGGGGGGGGGGGGGGGGCAATGCGGGTAGTATCCTGCACCTTGTTGCTGATATTGAACTGGTCGCAGAAGTGATGTAAATTGTCGAGCTGAGGGGCTTGGCGCCGGCTTACGTCGACATTGAAGTCGCCCGTTAAAATCAGCGGGGACGATGGCATTGACACCGCTGCTGTGTCAACTGCGTTGGACAAGTCCTGCCAAAACTGTACTGGCGTGCCTGGAGGTCGATACACTCCTCCTAGGAGAATCCGGTTTCGATGACTTCTGATCTCCAGTAGCAAAAGTTCTATGTTGGTGTGGTTACCCACCACTCGTGCTTGAAAGCGATTGTGGACATAGGCTGCTAGGCCACCTCCATGACTGGGAACGATCCCTCCGGACAAGTGCATGGTTAGGTATGCTGAGCAAGCTGTCTGCGGTAGAGCTAGATAGAAAGGTTTCCGCCAGTATCATGATGTCAATGTTTTGAGATAGTATGAAATCCTCAACTTATGCTTTTTATTAAGAAGGTGGCACGCATTGAGGAACCCTACTCTAAGATTAAGACTAAGGCCATTGTTGCTGTTCGATAAAGAGGCTAAATTAGGGGGGGGGGTGCGGTCTAGGATTGAATGGGATTGCATTAGGGTTTAGTGAGATGTCGGCATTCATGATGTGGCTGAAGCTGAAGCTATCTTATCCAAGGCGAATCTCCACTCTCGTGCACGCACCTCCGCTGGCCAGAAGTCTTCCTGCAGGGCTTTGTCGATTTGATCTGCTGGGATCACGACATGTGCGTACGCCAGTCCGAAGTACCGGGATTCTGACACACTGCACTTCATGACTGGCAGGTCTTTTTTCTCGCACCAACCTACTATGGAATCAGCACTACATCCCATGTGGACATTGCCAAGGTGAATTGCGCGGCATTTTATCCGAGGGGCTCCACGAAAACTTGCAGCAGCTTTAGGTTTGTGCTGATAATACGAGGTGACAGTGGACTGGCCTGGCTTGTGTGCTACGTCACGGCTGGCAGTGGTAGTCCTATTTGCCAACATGCGTGCAGGGTTTCAGATTTTAGCAACAAAATTATCCATCGACGTGCTGGTCTTGGCCTGCGTTGGTAGTGTTGCCCAAAACACATAGCCAGCAAAGATTGAGGATCAGACACTGAACATGAATTTGTAATGTGGAAATTTGTTGCGTTTTCTGGACGCATTCTAAGGCCATCTGTTCCTCGGATCGCTTGAAGGGGGGAATGTTCAACTTCACGCCATGTGGCATCAAGTGGTCCTGGATGTCAAATCCTTGGTCTGCCATAATCAAAGTCCCATAGCCAGCTACTGGCAGAAGATTTAACAAGTGGCTTCTGATTGTGAGCTCGTGGCCACTGATGGATTCCGTAAGTAATTTGGAGGTTAACGCCACACCACCATCTGGGGTCATATGGATGAGGCTTTTCAAAGTAGTATGCATCTTATATGAGCTGTAGAGTTGTGACTGTGCAGACAGACTGGAAGCGGTACTACATTTCAGCACTGTAGCATCTACATGTATGATTATGCTATCGCAACTGAACTAGACGCAATAATTATTATCGAAGAACATTCTCGAATACCCGGGTGATGCACGAATTTTGATTGTGCTCACTTCCGTTAATCGTTTTTCTTTGTAATTTTCCATTCATTTTTTGCTTTAATTAATATTTGCTTTGTTTTCCTAGCTTACTATTACCGTGGCTGGCTCAACGCCCTTGTCTCAGGGGATTCTGTCCCTGCATTAGCTATGCTTGTCACATGCTATGAGATTGTGTCTAATAATAATAATAATAATAATAATAATACGAAGTAGTGGTTGCGACTTCGGCGATGACTTGTAAGAAAGGGTTTGCTCCCCACACCGGAGCTCGCGCTATTCCGCCGACTTTACTTGACACTTGACTGACTCACGAGGTGTTTGTCGCGCTGGAAGCGGAGCGTCTCTGTAAGTTTGTATCCCTGGTGATGTTTGTGCCTGGAGAGCACTATATAAGTGGTGCTCTTCAGGCACAATCTTCCTCAGCCTACTCAAGCTCAACTGATGAGGGGTGAATTCCCCGAAACACTGTGTATTGAGCAGGGAGTGGTGCTTTCTTGCAGGTTTGCCGAGTCGAAGGTTCGATGGACTTCTCGTGTGCTCTGGATAGCAGTCGTGAGTCAGTCAAGTGTCAAGTAAAGTCGGCGGAATAGCGCGAGCTCCGGTGTGGGGAGAAAACCCTTTCTTAATAATAATAATAATAATAATTTCAAATAATAATAATAATATTGACTGGTTTGAGGGAAAGAGACAAACGGGAAAAGTCTGAAGAAAAAATTGACTGTCACCACCAGGACTCGAACTAGGGACCCTCGCTTGTAGCCAGCGATGCTCTAACCACTGAGCTATGGTGTAGTCGTCATCCCAGCAGAGGCCGTTCAACATTTTCTTCAGACTTCGTAACTCACACTTCCTGTGAATCCACACAGGCGGGTGGGACGCAGCCCTCACTGTAACCCACACACCTCACGTACAAACTAGCACGCGGTAAGCCCCAAGTCATAAAATATTAACTGGTTTGAGGGAAAGAGACAAACGGGAAAAGTCTGAAGAAAAAATTGACTGTCACCACCAGGGCTCGAACTAGGGACCCTCGCTTGTAGCCAGCGATGCTCTAACCACTGAGCTATGGTGTAGTCGTCATCCCAGCAGAGGCCATAATAATAATAATAAATAACTCCCCTCTTTTTTGGGGATTCTTTGTACTTCGTCTTTTTTGTTTTTTCTTGTTTCCTTTGTTTTTTGTAGGACAGATTTTTGGTGTACTGATTTCGGTTGTTGTTGTGTCTGACTCTATTCCCAATATCTAATTCTGTGGTTGGTTTTCCAACTCATTGGGTTGTAGTTTCCATCATGAGTTTGATTCCATCGTGAGTTTGATTCCATCGTGAGTTTTGATTCTATTTGCTATTTTTCGTTCCATTTTTGAGCTCACATTATTATTGTTGTTATTATTATGTGTGGATTCACAGGAAGTGTGAGTTACGAAGTCTGAAGAGAATGTTGAACAGTCTCTGCTGGGATGACGACTACACCATAGCTCAGTGGTTAGAGCATCGCTAGCTACAAGCGAGGGTCCCTGGTTCGAGTCCTGGTGGTGACAGTCAATTTTTTCTTCAGACTTTTCCCGTTTGTCTCTTTCCCTCAAACTAGTGAAGATGTTATGACTTGGGGCTTCGTGCGTGCTAGAGTGTACGTGAAGTGTGTGGGTACAGTGAGG